ATTTTCTACTGGAAAAAATGGGGATTTTATACTGGAAAAATGGGGATTTTCTACTGGAAAAAATGGGGATTTTCTACTGGAAAAATGGGGATTTTATACTGGAAAAATGGGGATTTTCTACTGGAAAAATGGGGATTTTATGCTGGAAAAAATGGGGATTTTATACTGGAAAAAATGGGGATTTTATACTGGAAAAATGGGGATTTTATACTGGAAAAAATGGGGATATATACTGGAAAAAATGGGGATTTTCTACTGGAAAAATGGGAGTTTTATACTGGAAAAAATGGGGATTTTCTACTGGAAAAATGGGAATTTTCTACTGGAAAAATGGGGATTTTATACTGGAAAAAATGGGGATTTTCTACTGGAAAAAATGGGGATTTTCTACTGGAAAAATGGGAATTTTCTACTGGAAAAATGGGAATTTTATACTGGAAAAAATGGGGATTTTATGCTGGAAAAAATGGGGATTTTCTACTGGAAAAAATGGGAATTTTATACTGGAAAAATGGGGATTTTACACTGGAAAAAATGGGAATTTTATACTGAAAAATGGGGATTTTATACTGGAAAAATGGGAATTTTATACTGGAAAAATGGGGATTTTATACTGGAAAAAATGGGGATTTTATGCTGGAAAAATGGGAGTTTTCTACTGGAAAAATGGGGATTTTCTACTGGAAAAATGGGAGTTTTCTACTGGAAAAAATGGGGATTTTCTACTGGAAAAAATGGGGATTTCCTACTGGAAAAATGGGAATTTTATACTGAAAAATGGGAATTTTATACTGAAAAATGGGGATTTTCTATTGGAAAAATGGGGATTTTATACTGGAAAAATGGGGATTTTATACTGGAAAAATGGGATTTTTCTACTGGAAAAAATGGGGATTTTCTACTGGAAAAATGGGGATTTTATACTGGAAAAAATGGGGATTTTATGCTGGAAAAAATGGGAATTTTATACTGAAAAATGGGGATTTTATACTGGAAAAATGGGGATTTTCTACTGGAAAAAATGGGAATTTTCTACTGGAAAAATGGGGATTTT